ACTAAAAGTAGTTCTTCTATGGCATCACACAAATAACTCCTTTTTTCTACCTTCAATTGTAAGATTGTAAGGTTTTCTTAGACCTTAATCTTGTCTCATTTTTACTTACATAATTGGCATTGCAAATTATTCTAAGACCATGTCCATGAAACAGGCCCACAGAGTTGTCAAGGACATCTTTTTCCTGCTTTTCTGTCTACTCTATAGACCTTTTGTAAAAATATTAGATAATAGCATGATGATATTTTTCTTACCTATTTTAAAAAATCTAAATGTTTTCAAGCAAAAGCCACCAGAGGAAGGAAAGTGAAAACCTGACAACAGACTTTTTTCCCAGAGAGAAAACAACTTGCTATTACACAAACACTTGAATTCAAAGCAACGCTGGCAGCTAGTCTTTTTTCACCCTCTATTGTTTTCCCTTTCATTCCATTTACACTTAAAAGCTGTGCAGGAACATGAAATAGGGAGGGATGAGAAAAGAGGAGACAAGACACTTTAATCAGTGTGCGCGAGAGATTGAATTATTTCACAAATGAAAGGAGTTTGGCTGGAACAGGCTGTTTCGGGGGAGTGACTGAAGAGGGCAGTTAAATCTTTAATGTGCGATCCATGCATTTAATACTGCCAAAGGGCAGACAAGGTCAAATCAACCTGTTCTACTGGAACGACAGCCAGCATTAAAGCTTTACTTTAATCACACCAAGAGCATTTACTAATGATTCATTTATTGCTATCTAATTAGACAAGTGCCAACCTGTTTGACTGCCATGAGCTATTACTAAGACATCACCTTACAAAGGGGAGAGCTGCGCGGCCGCAGTGGTGAATGGAAATGTGCTGAAATTCATCACAGGCCTTGTTTGTTTGTTTACTCTCTCACACGCGGTCACACACATTAATAATGATATGCTTTCTATTATTCCTCACATAGATAAGCAGGTTTATTAGTTTGCTCTACACTCCCGCAGCGCCGAGACAAGTGTGGATGGCTGCAGGAGATAGAGCAATGTGGAAAGGGTGAGAACCATATTTTCAGTGTTCATTCGGCTGTGCTGGATTTTATCTGAGTGTGTGTGTGTGTGTGTGTGTGTAGGGGGGTGTTAGTGAGAGAGCGTGTTAATAATCATAATTTAATGCCCGATAATATGAGCACTGATAATGAACTCTTGTGTGCCGCACATCTTCACGAAGTTCTAGCAGGATCGCGCACATGTGAATTTGTTGAAACCTCACAGTTATTAATAGAAAGACAAATTTCTCCTTCTGTTTTTAAACCTGATCTAATGCTCTAGGCAAAAGCTAATATTTAAGCCCTGAGTTAACACACTATCTAGCTAATATGCTAGCTGTGACGCAGTGATACCTAAGCTGTGCTTATAGTGTACTGATCTAATGCCCTGAGCTAAGTTTGCTCCAAGTTAACTACAAACTAACACACTATGTTAGCCTGAGCAAATGCACCAACTATGAATTAACTAGCCATAATTGAATTTTACAAAGCTGTGCTTCACTGTGTTCTGATCAAACACTCTAGCCACAGGCTAATGAGAGCTCTGAGCCACAAGCTGCGAGATGACACATGGTACAGCAGTACAAAGCTGTGCTTTATAGTGTCAAAGTATATAGTGTTTATAGTGTCAAAGCTCAACCTATAGGCTAATATGTTGGTCTACACACTATATCCATGAGATATGTTAGCCCTGAGCTAACAAACCAGCTACAAATTACCATCAGATGCATCTAAAATCAGTTTCAGAACACCTGTTAAACCATTAGAATCCTTTACACTGTGATAACTACCCTTCAGGAAAACTCAGAATACCATTACTGGCTATTGGACACCACCAGCCACAAGCTAACACACTAGTCATGATAGAGTGATACAAAAGCTAGGCCTTCTAGCAGAGATATTATAAATGAAGAGGCTGGTCACTGGTTAAAATATGAATCAGAAATCTCATAACGCTCAACATGGCATCTGTTTACAGATAAAGTTCCATCCTTCAATAAAAAGAGCTAATCAGCTTGCTGGCTGAGCTGCGAGTGGAGAAGCGTCGACAATAGTAGGGAAAAGCCTCCTCGTTGTGAAGATCTCATTTGTGTGCGTTACTGAGGCAAACAATACAAACTATTTATGAGGTTTTTGTCAGATTTTAGCAGTGATTTCAAATATAATTTTGAAACAGTAATTTGACCTTCAGTTTTAAGTATTTTGGTCTCTTCCCAGTCAACAAGATTGGAGTCTGTTATTGTATGGCTGGAAATAACTACACAGTGATGTTGCAAAGATGGTCACAAAGTGAACAGACTTTACTGAAAGGATGTTGCTAATAGTGTACTAATACTACCATATCTAAATAGCTACATACTAACATGCTAGCCATGACCTATGGATACAAAAAGCTGTGTGTTGTACTGATCTAGCACTAGCCACAAGCTAATATTGTAGCATGGAAGTAACACACTAATACAGTGATACAAAAGCTTTGTTTTATAGTGTACCATTCTAATGTTCAAGCCATCAGCTAAAGATGCTAGCCCTGAGCTAGCTATGACAAAACACAACGCAATGTGAAGGTGTGTTTAGTTGCTTCTGTCAAACAGCTGAATGGAGGAGTGTGTGGGGGCAGTGTTAGTAAGAAAGTGTGTTAATCTAAATTTTATGGCTAATATGGGCACTGATATTGAGCCTTTTTGTTGTCACATGTTTCTGCACAGCTCGGTAAATGTAAGCTTGTTGAAACCTCACAGTCGTTAATAAAAAAGTCAGACAGCACTTCCCTCAATTCATATAAAGCCAGTCAATTCTGTAGTTGTTATCACTGCTCGCATTCAGTCTCCACAGAGCGGCATTACTTGTATGTTTCATTAAATGTGTAGTGTAGTAACAGGGTTGCCAACCTTGGTGAGGTGACTGGAGTGAGATTTTCAGGTGACTGAAGTCAGACTGGATTGCGGTTTTCAATTGCACATCAGTAATTTGAACCACAGCTCTAACACAGATACAGACACCTCAACAAAGCCATAAATAACACTAAATACCCGGTACAGGTTTGTTGCAAGCTTAGTTACAGCAAAGTAGAAACAGCAGCTGTTTCTACTGGTTTCTACTAAGTTTTCAAATACCATCAGGTGTTGATAATTTTAAGCAAGCATAACTGGCAGTTTTTGACAAAGGCAGGCATACTTCATGCTGACCACATTTTGGCAAAGCTTTGTTTACCAGTCGGTCTGCATCTCGACCCTCACCTATGGTCATGAGCTGTGGGTAATGACCGAAAGAATGAGATTGTGGATACAAGCAGTAGAAATGAACTTTCTTTGCAGGGCGACGGGCAACATTCTACTTGATAGGGTGAGGAGCTTGGTCATCTGGAATGAGCTCAAAGTAGAGCCGCTACTCATTTAGAGGAGCCAGCTGAGGTGGTTCGGGCATCTGATCAGGATGCCCCCTTGGACCCCTCCCGGTGGAGGTTTACCAGGCATGGCCTATTGGGACAAGACCATGGTCGCCCTAGGACCCGCTGGAGGGATTATGTCTTCAAGTTGGCCTGGGAGTGGCTTGGGGTCCCCCAGAATGAGCTGGAGGAAGTTGCAGGGGACAGGGTCATCTGGGATTCTCCGCTTTCCCAACTGCTACCGCAACCTTATCTGGACTAAGCGGTTAATGATAATGATGGTGATGATGATGATGATGACATTTTGGAGCAACATATCGCTGCTGTTGGAACAAACCTTGTATCTCCATTTTTGTTGTTTGTCAGTTTTTGACATAATTTGAAAAAGGTAATTTCCTGTTACATTGTTTGTAAATTCCATGATGAATGGACCAAAAGAAATGGCCCAAAATGACTTGGAAAAAAGTCTGGTTCCATTGACTTACATTAAAAGTAAAGTATGTTTTTTGCTTCTCCTGTAAAGTTAGAATTTTGGAACTTCTATATGTGACCAAAGACCCTGTATGGTTGTGCAACTGATAACAAAAGAATGACAAAAAATTCCACTTTTAAAGCTGAATCATTTGTTGTCAGTGGTAAACTTGCTTCTGTCCCAATGTTTTTAGAACGTGTTGCAGAGTGTATATTCCATAAGTCCATAAGGTCATCAAACATTGGGTTTCTGAACTGTGTTCAATGTAATAATGGTCAAATAGAATTTAATAATTACTGCTTTCTGTTTTTAATAGCGTTTCATGTACTGTCTCAAACTTTTTTTGGAATTGGGTTTGTATGTATGAGCGCAGATATAATACAAAATGTGCCTTGGTGCACCTGCAATATGCGTCCACAGTTCATCCAAATGTAACATTTTATTTTCGCTAAGATTGCAGCGTATCACACCAACTGCTCATAGCCCCTTAATACATGGAGTTCTTTCGCACCAAAACATTCTGGTTTTCTTCCTTAACTAAGATAAAAATGTTTGTGAAATGGAAACACAGACTGCACACAGATAATGAGGCCACATGATGCTGTATTTTGCATCACATCTTCTCACACGTGTACATCTGATCCTGAGAAATTAAATAGTGTTATTCTAAACATAAACTTTCTTTCAGCATTTCAAGGCCTCCGTCTAACCACTGTGTCTGCTGTCACTGTTTAAAGACACAAATGCAAGTTTCTATAAATCTGTAAGACAGGAAAATTAATGCAAACTTTAGTAAATCAAGTGAAACATGTAATCTGCTGAACATGTAATATATTCACCTTACCTATGTTTTGTACAGTCCTTCTTCAGACGCGTATACATGACGAAGTGATGTGTATTTTGCCCTTTTCCATGTACATGACTAGGAAATTCGCATGTAGGCTTGTGCGCCAGTTTTGTGTGACATGGACAGAATGTGCCACAAAAGGCTTAGCAAACATCTGGTCCTGTGTGTTTGTATTGGAGCTCTATATCTGTTTTCCCTTCAGACAATAACAAGTACCTCTCTCTCTCTCTCTCTCTCTCTCTCTCTCTCTCTCTCTCTCTCTCTCTGCTTACATCTGAAGGAGGTAGAGGTAAGTTTTTGCAACTAAGAGAGCATCTTTGTGTTTTTTCATTTGATTTGAGCTTTTTCACCCCTCCTCTTTGTCTCACACTTTCACTGCTTCCTTCTTTTATCCTCTCTCATACTCTCTCCAACATCTTCTCTCACACTCTCTCCCTGTTTCATTCTCTGACGTTCTTACACATATTCTCTCTCTCTCTGTCTCTCTCTCTCTCTTTCAAATACATATTTAGACACATAAATGACTTCTCTTTTGTCTCTCTTATTTTCCGTGGTCTTCTCTGCTTTTTGAGGTTAATCATGCGTTTTATCTGCATTTTAATGCTAATGAGCATGTCCCGCATTTGCATACTATATGTGTTTGGTGCATCTCACAGGTAATTCAGGGGATTTATAGTAAGCAAGAGAGATGTTGTTGGCAACATATTCTACAGTATGGTAGGTAAACTAGTAAGTATGTACAGGAGTACTTATACAATACAATAGATGCTCAGTTAATTTCAGTTCAGTTAGTTTTCTTGGCATGACCATATTCATTTACAGTATTGACAAAGCATCATCAAGAAGGAACAAGAAAAATGCACATTCAGAACCTTACAGAGTAAAAGAACTCAAATTAATTTGATAGAAGAATCCCATAAAAGAACAGCAATAATAGCAGTTTGGAATTGAGTTTTAAAGAAAATCAAGGGGAAAATAATTAATAATAAGTAACATAAATACATAAAGGTGTTTACAACCAGGACAGTTTTTAAAATCTTGCATGTGTGTGTGTGTGTTTCCCACATGTACATACATACTAAGTGTGCACCAACTTGTAAAAGTACTACTTATAGGTATTACAGAAATTATTGTATTGAAGACCCAAGTGCTGCTGTACACATTTTCACATAATTTGATTTTTAATCAAATGTTTTAATTGGGTGGCACGGTGGCGCAGTGGGTAGCGCTGTTGCCTCACAGCAAGAATGGCCTGGGTTCGATTCCCAGCCGGGCGACCAGGGTCATTTCTGTGTGGAGTTTGCCTGTTCTCCCCGTGTCTGTATGGGTTTCCTCCCACAGTCCAAAAACATGCAGTCAGGCCGATTGGACATTGAGTGTGTGAATGTGTATGTCTGTCTGTCTGCCCTTTGATGGACTGGCGACCTGTCCAGGGTGTATCCTGCCTTCCGCCCAATGACAGCTGGGATAGGCTCCAGCACCCCACCGTGACCCAGAAGGATATGCGGTTTAGATGATAGATGGTTTTAATACAACAAAAATAAGTAGTTTCTAGCCATGAGCTAATTTTTAGCCCTGAGCTAATGCACTCGGTACGAGTTAACACACTAGCCAAAGTACAATACTAAAGCTGTATATATAAAAGCTTATTGTGTACTTATCTAACACTACAGCTACAAGATCGTGTGTTAGCCCCAAGCTAATGCACTAGCTATAAGCTAGCATGCTAGCCGTAATACAACAATACAACAGCTGCACTTTATATTGTAGTGATTTAACATTCTAGTCACAGCTGATGTGCTTGCTATGAGCTGACACACTGATAGAATGATCCAGTATGATGTGTTATGACTATGCAGTGAAGTTTTGTTCATTTTTAAATTTTACAGTCACACTGTGTCCTTAACCACAGCGACCAGTCTATGTGGCCCTAATGAAGGCCTGAACATGGTTTGAACAGATTGAGAGAGGTTTTGGGGGTTTGCAGAAAAGATTTGGGTGACTAGACTGGTATATGTCAGCAACATTAGTCTTGTAGCTCCAGCACTAAACTAAAGAAGCAAAAATTGGACACCAACCATGTCTGGGCTAATTGACTACAACTAGAGCAAGTGGAAAATTGCGTAAATTAGATTTCTCACCAAATCATTCCTTTAAGCAGTCATAAGCTCCTTTGAGTTTGCAGTAATGATCCCGTGTGTGTGAGGTGTCAGTAGAAATTCTCTCTGTGAATTGCTCTTTGTGTCAGTTATAGTATAGAGTCCTGCACGTCTTCTGTCTTAGCCATTTAACACCACACACACTCAGCGCATTTATCCTCACGCGCACACCGACAGAAGACCCTGCTGTCTGAGTCCACGCTTGACCTGGCAGGCCTGCGGGATCCAACATGCCACTGTGAACCAACATCAGAGAGAGAGAGAAAGAGAGAGAGAGAGAGAGAGAGAGAGAGAGAGAATGACAGAAAAATCAACAGGAACAAACAACAAACACGCAGCAGCCAGGATGAGTTTATTTCTGATGAACTGTGGAGAGATTTCTCCTTTCCCTCCTTCACAGCCGCCTCACCGCAGTCAACAAGAGGGGCACTGTCCACTCCATTAAGTGGACAAGACAACTGAGATGTGTTTGTTTGTCTGTGTGGGTGGGTGACGGGTGATTGGTATCTAGTCTTAGAAACCCATCACGCGCATCCAGGATTTCAGGTGGTAATGCGTAAGGACGTGGCTAAAATATTTCGGCCCTGGGCCTGAAGGTGTCCAGCCACTCTCATGCCATTGTTTATATGTCCAGTTTACTGAAAATAGGAGCACACACAAGAACACAGATCCAGTTGTTCTGTTTATGCTCCATAGGTCCTTGTGGCCAATGCTTTAGCTACAGAACCTGTAGTGTGTAGCCCTCACAGAAGTCGGGTCAGTGTTGCCTTTCTTTCATGTGTAGCAGATGCTAATGTAACTGCAGCAGTTGTGCTGTGGTAGTTCACACCAGTGAGTAAACATCACCTGTAGTTGTGTCCATAAAATACAACCAACTGCAAGGACCCTCACACAAAATACTACCATTTAATATAGTTCCATAATATGGTTTACTATACTTTACACTTTCTGTACTCTTTAGCTATAAGAAACAAGTCCAGAACCACTGTAAATATACAGGACATACTGAATGTTCATAAAATTACGGTGATTTTAACACTAAACACAGTCTTATGTACTGACCACCTCACATCAAATTACATGTTCTGTTGATTTTTGTAAGGGGAAATAAGTTAACCCATCCTCTGCAGAGAACCAAATTAAAAATGGAAATTTTCTGCTAATTTTACAGCACAATTTCTGTTTATTTGCTAAATTTAACATATTGAAAATAAATAAACAAAGCATAACACATTGAATGTGCCATAATTTTGGACAGACATCACTTTGTTTCATTTGATGTGTTAAATTCAGCAAATGAACAGTATTTGTGCATTAAAATGTGCAGACATATGTTCTCTGTAGAGGATGTGTTACTAACCGTAACTTAAATTCATACAAAATACATGATTTGACCATACGATGTGAATAATTTAAGAACACTGTGCACTAAAGTTCCTCATTAGGCTGAACAGAGTTTTGTCAACATTCTGCAAAGGTTGTTCAACCTAGCAACAGTTGCTATGATTTGTGGGCAGAACATGGATAGGTCAGTTGATCATTTGAAGGGAATAAGGGCTGTTAGTGTGGGCCGGCTTTTTTAATCCTGGATCTAACCAGCAATGACAGCAGCTGGCATGCAGCACTTTCTCTCTTTTACCTTTTGATAAAACTGGAAAATAAAAACAGAAGAAGAACATGCAGGTGTTTTAGTGCGTAGGACAAGTGCTGTTTTAATGGTGCTGCCTATTATTCCATTGTTCTAATTAATTGTATGGCTTAACAGAGCTCGCTGAGGCCCGTGTTGAAGTGGTTTCTGGTCTAAAAACATTTATTATTAGTTGAGTCTTTTTTTCAGACAACCAAAATTTAATAAGTAACACTTATTATTAAGCTCTCTCTCTCTCTGTGTGTGTGTGTGTGTGTGTATCTGTCAGTGCAAGCGAGTCTGAAGCCCACCAGGGAGAGTGAACAATAGTGTTTGATGAGCTCCAGACATTTTTAGTGATTTTTGCTTTTTTGTATTTTTAAAGTGAGAAAAACCAAAGAAAAACAGTCAAATATTGACAAGATTATATAATTTATTCATGAAAGTAACCTAGTTAGATGGTAAAACATTAAAAGAACTGAGACAAGCTAGCATAGTGCAGCATTTAGCATTTTTTTTCTCCAGTAAATAAAAGAACAGCAACTGACAGACATTTTAAGAGGATTTGCATATTGTGTATGAGTATGTATGATGGCTGGCTGTTTGTGGTAGTTATCAAATGCTAAGCAGTGTAAACCTCATCTCTTTGGTCAGTTGGGCATCATTTGTGTGAAGGCTGCATCATTACCATTAGCAGTTCACAAGCAGCTTCCCTTTAAATTCTATAGAGAATTCAGAGTGGCAGACAGCAATACAAACTGATAAAACAATGAGAAAACCCAGGTAAACATTGCATTAACCTGCAACCTGGCATTCAGCTGTATTATTCAGATCAGAAAATGACTGATGTGTAAGGACAGTCAACACATTGTTTGAGAATGGTGAAATAGACGAAAGCAGATTTCCAACATCTACCAAGATGGCACGGTAGTTGTGCAAGATATATGCAAGACGCTGTACCCAAAAACTGTAAAGGCGCTTTTCTCAGTCTTAAAATGTTTAAAGGAGGTTTGTCCCACTCTTTTGAAAACTGAATATGAGATTCCTGAACCACGTTAGGTAGAAAGAGAAACAGAGCTCTTACCGCTGTAAGGGCTGCACTTAGTTGGCACTCTGCTACACCACTATAGCTCAAATCAAGGACAGCCTCCCTGCTGAAAATGGAGCTAGTAGAACTGAGACCCACATGACCACCAGCACGGACACAGAGCTTCTCCCTGACCAGCTCAGCTCAAATCACAAACCATCTGAAGGTGTGAGCAGAGAACATGCTCCAAGAGAGAAAATGAAATATGAACTATAGGCAGAAGTGAAAGAGGAACTGTAGAAAGAGCTCTCAGTAGAGTTTTATATAAGGTCTGAAGTTTTGATCCGGACCCCAGTTATCGTTCCGACCCAATAATATATTGAGTCATGGCATGACCTGATCCAACCCACAGCAGCAAGCTTTGACTTTGAAGTTGAAGATTGGTACAATGAATTCTTCAGTGGTTGGATGTACAG